AGTGGATGCCGCCCAGATCGCGTTCAACACCACGGGCCCCCTCAAACGGCACTCCTTCTCGGTCACAGGGGGCACGCCCTGCGCCGAACCTCGAGCTCGCAATCTACATGAACCCTCCGCATCGGCAAGAACTGGCGCGACTTCAACCTTGTGGTGGGCTCTCTGCGTCAGTGGGGACAGAGCCCGAAGATGGTGCGCAGGGAAGTATACATCAAAAAGCTCGCAAAGATCCTGTCGGCGAATACCGACATCGGCGAGGTGCGCGCACATCGCTCCCAGGGCTACATATCACACAACGGTGACGCGCTGGTACAGATCATGGTGGGCCCTTCTGCCGATCATCTTGCTACTTAGCGTTGGAAAGAGGCTGCAAGACGCTCGGCATCGACGGCTGCCACCAGCAGACCATCGCCACCGAGTTCGCTATTGCATTCGCGGATCCACACATCTGCGCAGTGGCTTTCACACGAGATGGTCACCGTGGTTTACCGAGCCGGTTGCGGAAGGACCCCGCATCGTTTTCTGGAACACGCAAGCAACAATTTCATGGTCGCTCCAATGTTCGCCAACGAGCAAGACGTCGCCATCTACTCCGTCTTTTTCGTCTACGTGCGGCCCTCGCGCTGCAGGAGACACACGGCGCGTTGGAGGACCTCGCGCTTCTCGCGACTTCGACTGAGCACTCCTATCTCCTATCTCGCTTAAACCTGGCTGCCCGCTCGAGTCCCCGATGTACACCACCTCGCCTGGCGGGATCGGCCTCCTCGCCCCCTTCGACAAGGTCGAGCGAACCTGCCCGCCCGGAGAGCGTCCACCTCGGCGTTTTGCTGTAGATCCTCCAGGGCGAGCGGCTTGGCTCCGAGCCGCCGGCTCGCTGGCAGACGGGCGTCACCATTCTGAATGTACACAACCACGACCTCACTCCTCATGACCGCGCTGACCTACTCACTCAACGGCAACGACTTCGAGCTCACGCTGCAGAGCGCCCACAGGAACGTCTACTTGCCATGCTTGGCGACTTCAGCATCTCGGAGCACCCGCCCGAGAGCCTCGACGCGCCCGCCGACGCCGACGCCGCGGCCGCCCAGAGATAGCAGTGCCAGCCCGTCTTCTGGCGCAGCCCTTTCAAGGAGGTGCTGGATGCCACGTTGCTCTCCACCGCGCACAGGAACATGGCGACCATGTCCGAAACCGCGATCTACCGGTGCTTCATCTCGCTTCCAGCCCATGCGATGCCCAACATGGCTACCCGAATAGTCGACAGTGACGCACCGATGGAGGGCCCGAACGGCACGGACCGCGACCTCAAGATAATGCACCTCCGTGTTCGACCGCGCCAGCAGCGCCCTCCCACCGAACGCGGTATTCCAGCATTCGTTTGCGACTTCCCGCATTATCAAGACCACATTGAAAAGCTCTTAGACAACATCGATACTGTTGACATGAACGCTACTGCGCAGTGGAGGATCATGAAGGCCGCCATGACTGCGGGCCGCCAATCAGACCCAGGATCGCCGCCGCCGGGCTCGACAGCGTGACGGCCAGCATCTCCAAGGAAGTGCGCGCCATGTCGCTCAGAAGCATTGCCGGAGTGATTTGGTGCCGGGACCTGCGCTTTGCCGACGCGCTCAGCAACGGCGCTGAGACTGAGATTGCCGCCAAACGCCCGCTCATCGCGAACGGCCAGGTAACCCTGAATGACCCGGCCGCATTTCAGGCCGAGACTGACTCCACGCGCTGTTCTGTCATCGAAGAGCGCAAGGCGAAGGCAGCAGCCCGCATGCGCGCGGCATGCGCCGAGGCCAGCGTTAAACTGGGAGACCGATGGGGACAGAAACCGCGGCGGGGAGGCCGTGAAGCAGAACTCTGGCAGCCGTTCGCGAAGCGCCTGATCCTGACGAGCATCGGCATTGTCGCGGGCACGCAGATCACTGCCACCTCCGACCCCGCCGCCATGCGCGACGCCATCACGGGCCACTTGGGGCCGATTTTTTGCCGCCAAGCGAGTTCGCGAGGACGCCGCCACCGAGTATCTAAACTCCGTATTCTCCCGACGCCCCCCGCGGGATCTTCCTGCTCCTGATGCTGGGCGTCTGCGACGTGCTGCCAAACGTGCTCAACGTTCTGCTCCTGGGCCTGATCGACTTCCATGCCGGGCCTGGCTCGCGCCCCGCCCGCCCTCGACGTGCTGGCCGACCTGGCCCGGGGCGTGCTAGCTCCGCGAACGCTGCGCCCCCGTGCGACCTCAACTTCCACCCCGTGGCCATGCCCCCCAAAGGTGACGAGCCGCTGGGCAACGCCGAATGCGCGCGATCACCCAGCCCCCGTAGACCTTTCTCCACGAGGAATACGGACGTCAAGTTGATCGCATCAGCTGCCGGCAGATTGTTACGCGCAGTCGCCGCAGACACTGCCGTTTAACAACTGGGCTTCGTGAGCGGCCGACAATTCCCGGGGGGCGCGGTGCTCGTTGGCGCCGGGGCGAGTCGGCTGAGCACGTCCTCATCTGCCAACGCCAACGCGCCTGTCTTCATCAGCATTGACATCGCTGCCGCTTTCCCAAGCCTCGTTCATCAATGGCTGGTGACCGTCCCCATTCGATGGGGCATCCGCGGGCGCGCGCTGAAGCTCCTCCGCGCGTGCGACTTCATGCCGGCGGCCTTCCTCGAGGGGGGGCCCTGCGCCCGCTGCTCTTCGCTGCCTCTGGGGCGGCGCAGGGCTGTCCTCTCCGCGGAACCGTTTGGGCGCTGATTTTCGACCCATTCGTGCGTGCGGTCAGTGCGGAACTACGAAATATCCAGAGGCTGGTGAGCGCCTGCGCAGACGACCTTGGCGTCGCACTCGCGCGGCTGCGCGGCCCAGCGCGGCCGGTGCCCCGCTGCGTTGCTGCGGAGACGCTGGCGGGGCTCAAGCTGCAGGCCAAAAAATGCATGATCGCACTGGCGCGGGCCCTCCCCGACATGACGATCGCCGACGAGATACGCGCCATCTTGGAGACCATCCACCTTCCCTGGCGCAGCTTCAAGATCGAAGCGAAGGCCCATTACCTTGACTTTTTTCACCAGCCCTGGCGCAGCACTCCAAGACCAACGGAAGGGGCCTTCATCGAAGTGGCGAGGCAGAGTCGAGATGCTGGCCGTTTCTCACGCCCCACTAGAGATGTGCATCAAGCCCTGCGACGTGGCAGCCATCGCGCGCCTTACATTCGTCGGCCAACTGTTCCAGCCTCCCAGCGCCCTGCTTGCCACGGAACTACACGCGATCCACGCATTGCTACGAGCGGCGCCCAACAGCTTCGTTATGTCTGACATCCAGGCCGTGGCCCTCCGGACCAACGTTGAACCCCCTCGTGGCATCAAGGCGCGCCGCTCGCATCGTGTTTCCAACTGGGGCGACCTCTAGGCTGGGCTCTGCGTTACCGCTAATGAAGAACTGCCGATGCGTTGCCCCGTGGCAGGGCGCCGGTGTGCCGATGGCTGGAAGGGCCCCGCATCCGCTGTGCAGCGGCTCCAGGGCGCCCTCAACTCCACGTTCTTCGCCGAGGGCAGGGGCTCAATCTTCGAGAAGGCCGCGCGCGCCGTCAACTTCACTGTTCGTGCGCGTTGCAAACTTCAAGCTGCGCATCAATATGCTGCGAGACAGGGGCTGAAGAAGGCCGCGCTCGCCGCCTCGCCACTGAACGCCGACGTCGACATGCGCAAGAAGACGCGCGCGCTGCGGATGGCCTACTTGCTCGCCCTGCACGAGAAGCTCTACGAGGGCACCGTGCACGTCGCGATCAAGCGCCGACTTGCCTCGTGGTATCCTGCTCTTCTCGGCCGCCAGCTCGTTCGCCATCCGCGTGATCGCGCCCGTGCGCAGGCCGAGGAAATGCAACGTCGCCTACAATGGCGCGCTGCTGAATGGGCAGCTCGTTGGCTCCTGACTTCCTCATCGACGCGAGCAGCTTCGACGGCAAGGGGGACTCGATGCAATGGTGCGTGACGTACCTTGAGCTCTTGCTTCAACGAGAAGAACAGCGCCCACTATTCCACTATGCGCCTCGCCCGAGCAACGCCGAAAACTCGCGCGTGACATGCGCGGGCAGGCCTGGCTGGGCGGAGCTTCTGGGCGGCGCCTTCTCGAGCTTCGTTTTCTTGGCAATGTAACCCCATACCCGCGATGATAATGTACCCCCCCTGTACACATAAGAGTTGATTATCCACGGCCAATAAGAGTTTGGTCGGGGGCGCGGGGGCGCGGAGAACTTCATTATCACCGTGAAAAGTTCGCCATCGAGGTTCCTTCCTTCTTATGTCTCCTTCTCCTCTCCTCCTCCTCCTCCTCCTCCTCCTCCTCCTCCTCCTCCTCCTCTCCCTGGCGCCCCGAACTTGTTTATCGTTGTGGTTGATAATCCTGGGAAAAGCGAGGCAGATGAGCCACCCTACACGAACAGATGAACATCTTAATTCCCATTAAGCGCTTACAAATAAAATCTACTATGTTTTGAACTTTGGATTTTTCTTCCTCCTTCTCATCTTCCTCTCCTCTCTCTCTCTCTCCGTCTCTCTCTATCTTTTTCGATTTCTTTCTCAACCTCTTTCTCTCTTTCTTTCTTTCTCTCCGTCTCTCTATCTGTCCTCTGTCTCTTTCTCTTTCTCTTTTTTTTTTTTCTCTCTCTCTCTCTCTCTCGACCTTTCTCCTTCTTTCCGTGCCCCCCCTGATTTTTTTCGCTGTGGTTGATTATCCTGGGAAAAGGAGGCATATGAGCTACCTTTACACGAGCAGATGAACATCTTAATTTCCGTTAAGCGCTTACACATAAAATCTAATAGGTTTGGAACTGTGGATTGTTGTTTCCTCCTCCTCCTCTCCTTCTCCTGCTCGTTCCTTCTCTTTCTCTCTGTTTATATATGTTTTAATATTGACGAGGATGTCTCAAACGAAACAAGCCGTCGTTGAGGATGTCTCAGAGAGGACAGCAAGCCAAGGATGTCTCAAGATATCCTCGGCTTTGGCTCCTCTGTTAGCATCTTTATGCTGGTCCTGGTGGGCAGCTTTTATTATCACACCGTAGCCGCCGAACTTTACTCTCCCTGGGGGTTTATTCTCGGCAGTATACGGTTAGGCCTTCGACGTGCTGATATTCGCGCACAAGCTGCTCATCGAGAGATACTTGCCGCTGAACGTCGCGCCCGTCGTCGATGAATCGCCTCGACTCGCTCCCCGGGGAGGTGTCGGACGACGTCCCTGGCGCGCCATCGAATGCTTCGAACGCCGAGAACGTGCCCGAGCTCCTCGGTTTCGTGCGGAGCCCCGACGACCTGGGGGTCCGCTGGCTCAGGCTGCGCTCGCATCTGGCCACTCCCAGCACGCTTGTGGGCATCATTGAAGACGTTGGCTGGAGTTTGGACGACATCACACAGGAAGTACGTACTGCAGAACAAGAGGGACTGCCACTACGGCTGCAACGCGGGAGACGCGATGGCCCATTACCTGGTTTGCCCACGGGTGCTTCACCACATGGCGCACCCGCGAGGGGCAGTCTCCACCAACCCATTGGACCGCTTCGGGATGGGCAACGAGGACATGATGGGCGATAACGGCATCCAAAGCTCGGTGGCGCGCATTGCGGTCGCATGCCGGGTGTACCACATGGTGAAGGACAGTACGGCGGACCGCAGCGTGCCGTACCAGATGATGGTGAACAAGAGCGCAGCGGCCTGCCATGCGCTCCAACTTCCACATGATCATTCGGGAGGAGCTGGAGCCCACATCACGAACTACGAAACGAACTACGGGATGCGGGAGGCGCTGCACGCCCCGACCCGCTCTGAGCGAGGGGCCCGCGTCGGCCGCGGCGGCCTCTGAGATGAAAACGTGGCCCGCAAGGCTACGTTCGCTCCTCCTCCTCCTCCTCCTCCTCTTCCTCCTCCTTCTCTTCCTCCTCCTCAGGAGGATGATGTTGTGGAGGAGAGTGATGGGGGTCAGGAGCGTGAGGTGAGTGAGGGGACTGAGGCGGAGGATGATGATGTGGAGGAGGAGGGTTATGTGGAGGAGGATGGGGTAAAATGAGGAGAGTCAGGGACGTGAGGAGAGTGAGGAGGCGAAGGAATAGGAGGAGGAGGAGGAGGAGGAGGAGGAAGAGGAGGAGGAGGAGGGGGGGAGGATTGGTGCAAAGCCACCTTACGTAAGGCGAGCACCCCCTCGGCCCCAGGAGGCCCTCAGAGGCTTGCAGTGCGCGTGGGCCGGCGTCATCATCACCATCACCACCATCATCATCACCACCTTCATCATCATCATCATCATCATCATCATCATCATCATCATCATCATCACCATCATCATCAGCAGCAGCAGCAACATCATCATCATCATCATATTTATCATCATCATCGTCATCATCATAATTGCCATCATCATCATCAGCAGCATCCCTCCAACATCCTCCTCCATCGGTCCTTCGTCGGTCCTCGAT